TGGAAATGTGCACTTTATAGAAATTCTTAAATGTTATTATTTAACTCCAAAATTGGCATCGTAATTTGAATCCAAAGTTGCTCATTCTGCAAATGAAGTAGCAATCTGTAGTGACGGTGCATTTTGGAATGATTCATATTCAACAACATATAAATTATCAGTGAAGCTCATTTTGAGTGGTTTGTCAAGTGGTTCTAAAAGTACTAGCCATATTTTCACGAGGTTGATATAGCTTTCCTCAATTTCATAGAGTCCTGTGGTGGTTTTAGTCCGATAGGTTTGGCTGCAATGACACACGTGTAATAATGACTCCAAGCCGCAAAAAGAATTAGAGAAGCGAGTATGTATCCAGCACTGACGGTGTTGCGAATGGGCTCGGCTTCGCTTCGCCCATTCTGAGAACGAATCAACAGTTCCGCGTCCATTCCCCTTGACTTATCAAATCATCTCAGTTACAACAGTCGGGAAATTTGCTGGAATGTGCCCGTAAACAGTTTTTCTTTCTTCGTTTGAACGAATTTTTTTCGTCGTTCGAACAAATGTTTTCTTCGTTCGAACGACTTTTTTTTGTTCGGACGAATTTGTTTTTTCGTTTGGACGAACATTTTTCTCAATTTTTTTTTAACCTATGTCCCTTTGAAAGCTCCGTATTAATGCACTCGTCAAGCTCATCCTTTCATAGATTCGCTGATAATTGACACTTTTGTTTCATTCCAATCGGCAGTGGGACATTGTATGCAAAAGGGACGCCGAGCGCCAGCTGTCCAAGAGCTTGGTTTTGGCGGGAAAGATGGTTGGTTCGATGATCTGTGGTCAGCTGGCTGATGTAGTAGGAAGAAAGAAAGCCTTCACGTTGGCTATCCTTTTGATGGTAGGCTTGGGGTCCATGCATTTGGACAACATAGTCATGCGGGATATACACTGGAGCACACTGCCAGTCGGTTGATTTTTCGGAACATGAAAGGAAAATACATGAGTTAAAACAGTAATCTATTTAAAGTATTGTAGTTAATGAAATGGGGTTTAAAAAACCTCCAGAGCCACTATTACAGCTTTTATTTAAGTCGGATTTCCAGAGTGAATGTAAAAAAAGATTTCGCTTACACCCCCCCTCCGTGTATGGGCTCAACTATCCTGTAACACAATGTTTGTGTTATAAAAATCATTCTATAAATCACATCATGGGTCTCAAAACTTTGTCTCTTTCCGTGCTAATATCATATATACAATATTGACAGGTGGGTGTTGGCACGGGAGCCTCGTTTGTCACCAGCTTTACCGTCTTCCTAGTCATGCAATTCCTGCTTGGTGTCTCCTCGTCTGGAACCTTTGTGGTTGCCATAGTGATAGGTAAATAAAGCACAGATGATTCCGTTTGTACTTGTTGTTTCTTAGGGGAGGCGGTATTACCAGGTGTTGGTGTGTCGGATCATGGATGTCGATTCAGTCAGGTTTCCATTTCTAAAATGTTTAACATTATCTAGTCCACTATGACTGTTCTTTTTTTCTTCATTTTCCCTATAGCCACTGAGATGGTTGGGAGGTCCCAGCGAGCTAACGCAGGTATAGTCATCGAGTATTTCTACAGCGTAGGTTATATGTCTCTAGCTCTTATCGCATGGAGACTCCGTGACTGGCGAAGCATTGAACTGGCAATATCCATCCCACCAGTGATTTTTCTGTCTTACTACTTGTGAGTATATCAGATAGCAAGAATCATGTTTACATGTATTTATTACAAAATCGTCAATCTATATATTTGCAGGCGCAAACTCCCATAGGTGTGGGTGGGTGTGTTGTGTGGGGGGGGGGTTGCCTGAAGCTCTGACACCAGGAATAAATGAAACGACAATTGTAGTAATAATTTTTTTTAATGGTATCCTTTAAGAGTTGTTTGTACAACAGTAATAATATATGTATCATGTGTCGCCGTGAGTCTGTGGGGCCTGATCCCTGTAGAATTTCCTGGCACCCCTGTAACTTTTCACACTTTCGAGTGATGTATTCATCCCAAAATATACGTTCGACGGGTGCAAAGGTTTAAGGGCACCTAGTTTGCATCCATGCATTGTGTAGTCTATTTGCTTTGAGTGCCCTTTGAGAAATGTATGCATGCACTCCAGGTTACAATATGACCACGGACGTGTATAATAAAATCTGGACTCGCAATGCCCCTTATCAGCTCATAGAGTCATTGAATCCACTCGCAGCCATTTTACCGAGCCGAATACAAAGCTTTCCTGGCAATGCCCACCTTTGTTCTTCCTGACGTCAATAGAACGGAGCCAACCCACGCATTTGTAAAATGGCTGTTGGTTGTCTTTTTTTCATACAAAGGCGTTGCAAGTCCAGGTTTTTTTTTATATACGTCCGTGCATATGAAGCGATATAAGGGCGGAGAGCACACCCACCTTTGTGTCGGTCATTGCTTGAACAGGAATTCTTTTCGGACGTCGAGGGGGATTTTATTACATAACGGGTTTCGGTCACTTCGCCCCATTTCCACTTCGCCCCATTACCACTTCGCCCCATTACCACTTCGCCAATTTTCCACTTCGCCAATTTTCCACTTCGCCAATTTTCCACTTCGCCAATTTTCCACTTCGCCCCAGTTCCACTTCGCCCGATTGATTATTATGCATTCTGTTCTTCAGTAACAGAAGCATAAGACTAGATGCAACAAGTAAAAACATCGACGTTTAAGTACCCAAGTAACGATTGGATAATCCAACTTTCAAAGGCCAGAACAATGATTCCGATTTCCCAACTGCCGGACCAAATTTTTTGGCGAGACCCTACCCGTGTAACTAAGAGATGGCGGTTGTAGGTCAACTCGACTCGAGTCAACTCGACTCCTGACCAACTCGACCGTCGACCAACTCCACCATTGAACCAACTCGACTTCAAAGTCGAGTCAACTCGACCATTTACCAACTCGAAAGTTGGCCAACTCGACTGCATGGTTGATTCATGTGCTGCGTGCCGGGCCGGCACAGACGGGCCGCCTTGGAAATCGGCATCGGTCATTACAACCTTTGTGTCACCAAAAAATATTCAGGGGAGATTGGCTTTCTGTTTGGTTGGCGTGGATGACACTGTTCTCCATTTTCTATGATAGGACCCTTGGGCATCAGAAATGAATGTCTATTGTGATAAAAATGTTTAACATTATGTGGCAATTCGCTCAGACTTTCTCATCACTCCTATTGGGCTAGGCTTAGGCCTTCGGCTTCATCTCTTTTTCTGTGTAATTCTACCTTATATAAAAATTTAATCTTGTGGGTTGCAGCTAAAATAGATACTGTTTACTAGCTTGTATCACCATTGATAAATGAAAAGCAATAGTTATTGTTAACATTTATTTCCATAATGCCACGGATACTTTAACAATACATTATGGAAAAAAAACGTTAGAAACACGCAGTAGAGGATAATCCAAGGGCAGTTATAGATCCAGTTTGGTTGAATTACAACATTGTATTCATGCCGCGGCGACCGTTCAAGTACGTGATTTGTCACGCATCGAAAAAATCGATGTTTGCAATATTTCGTCACGTGAACTCTTAGTGTCTTGTCTATGTGTTTATTTTCTGTGTTCATCAGTTTAATTTTATAGGTTATTATTTTGCTTGTAATGGACAATGCAGTAGACAATAATTTAATGCTGTAGACTTTTCCACAATAATACAGAAATGAAATGAACAGAATTGTGTGTATGTTGCTTTCAAAAAACTTGAAGAGGATGAGAAATAACCCCGCCGCTAGTCCAACCATGCATCAATTCATCATAATGGACAATGCAGTACACATTAATTTAATGCCGTAGACTTTTCTATAATATATGTAACTACATGTCGTTTGTGGAACTCCTCTCTCGACCAGTTTTTAAAAGAGGCTTGTTACACACTCAAAACGGACGGCAAAGTGGAAATGGGGCGAAGTGGTGATGGGGCGAAGTGGTTAGGGGCGACGTGGAAATGGGGCGAAGTGACTGTAAACCTAGGTATTAACAATACTCTACACTGCAAAGACTGGGGTGTTAAATTAAACACCCCCGGTGTTATCAGAGGACCATACCTTTACTTTTCACCGGTATTAAAAACTTTAACACCCTCTAGTGCATTGTAACACTTTTTGGTGTGCAAAGTAACACCAGTGGTGTTAAAGTAGCACCCTATGGTGTATTTATCTGATAACACCAAAAAGTGTTGACTTTAACATTAGAGTTTGACAGTGTAGGATGGGTTTAGGGATTCGACATGTGGGGGGGGGGGGTAACCCCTCCGTCCATATCTTGCTGGGTGTAGCCTTACCCCCGACGATTCACCTCAGTTACGCGGAAGAAGCAGCTTTGCAACCTTGAGTATTTGAACCTTTTGTTTGTTCCCTTAGTATTGTGCCCGAGTCTCCACGATGGCTGATTTCCAAGGGTAAGCTGGTCGAGGCCGAGAAGATCGTGAGACGGGCCGCAAAAGTGAACAAAGTGGAGCTGCCAGAAAGCGTGTTTACGGATGATGACACTGACCAAATGAAACATCAGGTCAGAATGTGATAAGTGGTGAATAAAAGGTCAGGACTCTCATAAGGGAAAACCTCAAACGTAATGGTTTTTATTCCTATGAATCTTATAGCTTCACTGCCATCTACCTTTTTCTGAATTTACAGATGGACGTGGAAACTGAGCAAGCAGTGAGAAGACACACTTTCATTGATCTCATACGGTATCCAAACTTGAGGAAGAAGATGCTGAATATTTATTTCAACTGGTAAAGAAATTTTTTTTAAAGATTCTCTGGCGCCCTCAGCATGATAGGGGAAATATTTCATTCTTGATATTTTGATGAACTGTGAAATTATTTTTGTTAAATTGTTTTGGTTTTGACCCAAATTATACGTGTAGAGAACTTCGAGAAGCGATATTTCTTAAACGAAAGGCTTTTTATCAATATTTCAATCAGGATAAGCAACAACCTGGTCTATTATGGCCTTAGTTTCTTCACCGAGGACCTTGGGAATAATCCCTACTTAGCCTTCTTCATATCCGGAGCAGTGGAAGTCCCCGCTCTTATTGTATGTCAGCTGCTGCTGGGAAGAATTGGACGTAAATGGCTCATATGTACATTAATGACCATCGGGGGCGTCTTGTTATTATGTGTCCTTGCAATCCCAAAAGGTACGTTTTATTCATATCCCAGTCTGCCCGAATGTAGTAACAATCAGGTGTCTATCAGCCCCAAATATTCCGAAGCTTTGCACATTTTTTGTCATTGTGTTGCATTGATTTTTGTATTGATAAAAAGAACAGAAGGAATCTTCACTACATGTTTAGTAACTTCATAAAGTTTGTACCGGTACTGAGGTTTGTGGCTGCAAAATCTTCCCAATATGACCTTGGACAATGACACGTGTACAAATAAAGATCATGCGCATGGCATTGCCTAATATAACCCCCATTTATCAGCAAGCTATAATTGGCGTTGATCACTGCATGTAAGTGCCATAGATATTTCTTATTGTCACCTCTGTTACGTAATTTTTCTCCGTCTGTTAAGATTCGACCACTCTTATTCTGGCGATTGCTATGATCGGTAAGCTGTGTATTTCAGGCTCGTATGCAGTCGTCTACTTGTACGCCATCGAACTCTTTCCAACTCCTGTGAGGTAACTACTGTGTTTCTCTTCAGTTTTCACGTTATTTAGCAAGTCTTCTTTGTCCAAATTGATTTTTTCTTAGTTTTTCCTTCCTTTTTCGGTATTTGGAACAAAGTCTGGCCTGATTGTGCTTCATGCATGGTCTGCAGTCGCCTTGATCGTTTTCTTAGTGGCTTATTGCTTTCGCATTTTCGTTCGCTGTTTGATTCCTTCGTCCTCCATGATACTTTTCCAAAGACCATACATTTGAAACACAGTGAACTAATTATGCTCAACTCTACAAGAGCCGGAGGTGGGGCGGAATCCGCCCCTCAACATTTTTGCTGATATCGCTGCAGTGCATTTTTTTCAGGAGCTTAGCATTTAGGAGTTTCAGAGTAACCCTTTACGGTCATTTTGACACCATACGTCTGATTGACTTCAAACTCCACATTTGTAATGATAAGGAGTTTTTTACATGCATGCCAAGGTTAAAAAATGAGCTAGGCACTGCCGAGTTCTTGGGGTGGGGAATCCGCCCCCAGGCTGTGAAAGGGACAAAATAACCCAGCTCTTTTAGGGTGAAAGAAATCCACACCATCACGCATAATGCATCTGAAGTTCGAATTTAAAATGGACGCGTTTTTACAAGGGAAAGTTGAATTCTAATTGCTTGCGCCTGTTTGTGTCTTTGTATGCTGCAGGAATGTTGGTGTTGGCATGGGCTCCTTCATAGCTCGTGTCGGTTCTATTGCCTCCCCGTATATCCTGCTACTTGGTGACTACACGTTCTCACAGCTGCCGTTTCTGGTATTCGGGAGCTTTGCTCTGTTGAGTGGTATTCTCACACTGCTTCTACCGGAGACTCTAGGAACTAGACTGCCAGAGACGTTGGAGGAGGGGGAATCCTTTGGCAAGTATGTGCGAATATAAACACAGTTGATGATGGACAGGGGTCTACGTTGTGGGCGGGGATATAAGCTCTGTCCGAATTAATTGGGCGTGGCTTGAAATTACACACAAATGAAAGAACAAATTTTATGCCGCAGCCAAGAAATTTGCACATTATGCACGGCTTTGCAGTCGGATATGGAGATCACCCACTTTTGTCAAGGTGGGCTGCCTGATTATCTCATAGATTTATTTTCTGAAAATGATATTCTCTAGTCAACATAACCGAGCAAAGAAGTATACATGGTTGGAAAGGGAGAAGTCGAGTAGAACTCGGCTAAATATCAATCTAAAAGTGGATACTGCCAGGCACGGATCCCCAAAGTGGAGATGTAGGCCTACACCCCTGCTCACTTACAGGATTTCCCCAAACCTGCGCTGTACGTTAACATTTTTGCGTAAGGCATGGTGAGCACCGACTGACTTTTGTCAGTTGGACCCAGTAAACTGCGGAAAATGAAACTAGCTGATGGCTAGCGGCTACCATAAAGTGCATAATATCATTGCTGGTCGCAGCCGTAACCCCGCTAGTGGGACGCGGCCTTTAAGGCCAGTTCATGTTTAGCTCAAAACCGAACACGAATACGTGTATACAACATAGTGACGACAGATCAAATATTCGTATTGCATATTCGCAAACGTTGAACACCTTCAACGAGGGCAAAGTTTGCTTCGAATGACATTGTGCCGTACTGGTATGTGACGTCAAATTCGTTTCACTCTTGGTTGCACCTGGGTATGAACCAGTCTTACGCATTACGGCCTGCTGCAGCTAAGACTATGGAAACTGTCTCATGTATGGCGTCGACGTTTCTGCATTTTTTTTTCAGGAACATGACAATCCGTGAGATGTTTAAGCTACCGAACTGTCGCCGAGTCCAGGATCCCAGTGAAGACCACGTTTTTGAAATGCGATATAAGAACGAGGACAAAAAACCGATAACAGTGGAGCTAGAAGTAATGTCTTGCGATGTGGGCGTACAGACGATTTAGTGAGCTGATTGTGTTCTCAACACCACTCGCCGTCCGCTCGTCATAAGTTGATATGTTTTAAGATTGTTGCTGCCCTAGTATGAGCATTATGAAAAGGGAAAAAAGACCAGACAACCCAAACACATGTACAAGTGTGTTTTGGGCCACAAGTGGGGACCCCTTATTGTTCCTCAGTTTGTTCGACCTATTCTGGAAGACCTCCCTTACGTTTTGTACTCGAATGTCGATCAGGGATCCTCGGTGAATCAGGGACCTAATTGTTCCGTATTGCTCAGGGTCTCCAATAGAATGGGAAACTCAACCCAACCCAACTCAACCCAACCCAACCTAATCCCAACCCAACCCAACCAACCTAATCCCAACCCAACCCAACCTAATCCCAACTCAACCCAACCAACCGAACCTAATC